ATACATAGGCGTGGAACTTGATTTTTTAAATAATTGCACCTTTAAAAATTCTACGCCAATGGCAGAAAAGGGGTTTGAGTATAAAATTTGGATTGGGTACTCATTTACTACAAAAAAGTACCCTTGATAATATTCGATTTACTCTCATGGTTTTGACAAAGTTTGTATTTTAATAATTATTGTTTATGTTCTAAAATTACTAAAATGCAAATTACGTCAAAACCATGAGAGTAATCGAGTTTTATCAAGAGTATCTTTTTAAAGTAAATGAGTTGCGCAATCTAAATTTCATACTCAAACTCCTTTTCTTCCATTGGCGTAGAATTTTTAAAGGTGCAATTATTTAAAAAATCAAGTTCTACGCTTATGTATTATTATCGGACAAAATTTTAATACCGTTTTTTGCCACATAAAACTCTACCAATACACCAAATTTCAGCAAATTCGCATATGCCGTTTTAAATTTATATAGGAAAAACGATTTAAAAATTGTAACTTCAAGGCCCTCTGGAGCCCAAACGAAGCAACTTTGTACTAAGGTAATTTTACTTAAATCGACTTATTTTGGTCTAAGGAATATGTGGTATGTTTTTGTAAAGACCTTTTACAAACACCGTGTATAAAAAAAATAAAATTCCGTAAATCAGTATATAACAAGTAAATTATGTAAGTAAACTTAATCCAACAGTTGCAAAAACACTTGTGTGTTTTATCTTAACACAATCATAAATAAAATAACTATTAATATTATACCAGGAATTTAACATTAATCCATGTCGACATGCCAAAAAATTCCAGTTAAAAATCTTATCGCCTTTCTTCCAATCACTGTTTCTGAAGTTCCCCTTAGTTTACCAAGGTGTTGCACACAACCGGATTCGAGCTTACATTTTTTTGCCATGAAAGTTCCTGACGCTTCTATAAATCTCGAAACTTTCCTCGGGATATTCTTTATGAGAACCGCAAAGTTTATTTAAGCAGAAAAAGGAGACAGAAAGTCAATAAGCCCTTTTACGAGGACCGAAACTTCTAGTCTTGGCAATCAAAATAACTCTGACGGGTGAAGTCGATAATAAGATTTAGAATATTAGGCAAACATTAAATTGTGAAATTTAACATGGTATTTTTATAGGCATGCGGTTGGTAATTTTAAAACACAAAAACGACGATTTTAAACTTAAATAAATAGGTGTTATTAAAAGTACAGGGTGTCCCACTATAAAGTAGCACATTTTAACAGCTTATAAATAGAATAAAATAGGTATAAACATGCAGTTTTTGCTAGATTTTTTATGTTTGCCTCAAGTTTTTATTTACACATTTGCCAAATGTATATTTTTTCCTGAAAAATTATCGGTTTACTTTAAATAGAACATCCTATTCTATTTCATACCATCTGATATTCCCTTTGGTATCCTTTCATTTGTTAAAAGTTAACCAAATGCGTATAAAAACACCGACTCAGGCCGTTCCAGTTCATTTAAAAAGAAAAAGATTTTGTAGATTCTCAAATTAGTTAAGAGTAGCTGAAAGTATCAGCTAAGTTGTGAGAAAATTTATATTCTGAAAATCAACCGAAAAGTACTCAAATTAATTATTGAAAGTACAATAAATTTATCACACTGAATATTGCGCAGTTGAATATTTAAAAAAAGTGCTCGGAATTTAGGTCAAGACCAATCGCGTATGTTTACATATGTGCTTAAAAAAACAATGATTCCTAAAGTAAAAGTGTGCCAATAAAAATAATTTAAAAATGTGTAGAGAAAATCAACAAAACCGAATCTTCTGAAGCGCAAAAAATCAGGACATGACACAGGAGAACCAAACTAATATGGAAACAACAGTTTGCGATGATGAGGAAAAAATTGAGAAAAAAATATAGAGATGTACTCTTAAAGAAAGAATCAGCTATACAGGAGTTGACTAAACAATTGCATGAAATGCAATTAAGAATACAACAAATGGAAATGATATTAGGTATGCAAAAACAACAAAAACAACAGCATATCGAAACACTCAAAAGAAGAAATATTCAATAAAGAAACAGCTTGGATAGTACAAAGAAGCAAAAGAAATAGCAAAAAACGAAAAATGCGAGAATCTCCGGAAGTGTCACCTCAAAACACAACTAAAGAACAATACAACGTACAAAAAGAAGCAAAATGAAAACGCACAAAAATAACAACCGAAACAAAAATTACCACCACCAATAACAGTAACTCAGGTCAAAAACTTTGAAGAGTTAAGACAAAAACGAATAAGTAAGCAACATAGTTTTGTGTAGCTACCATATTAAATAACGACGAAATTAAATTAAACGTAAAAGATGAACAATAGTATAGAACAATGACAACATATCTCTCAGATCAAGGCTATCAGTGGCAATTATTGGAGATGGAACAAACCAGACCAATAAAAGTGATGGCTAAAAACCTACATCCTACCTGCAAGCCAGAAGATATTGCTGAAGAATTAAAGCACAGTGGATTTAAAATCTTGGATGTAATTAATATCCAAAGGAGGGAACCTAAAGTAGAAGAAAAGAGAAATAAAGTTATAAGAACTGCTATAAAGAAGCCCTTGCCGCTATTCATGTTAAAATTTGAAAAAAAAAATAAAAAAAAAAACATGAAAAAAAACTGCATGATCACATCAATATTAAAGTTCTACAGTTTCTGGACAACCGATACCTAATGAGAAGGCTCAGAAGGACCAAACCATTTGAATTACTGATGTGAAAGTGTGTTAAAGCAAAGCATAGTCTTAAAATAGACCCTTGTGGTACATCAATATTAGTATAAACAAAGTCGGATTTGTAAGTTTTCAATAACTTTATATTTATAAAAAGTATAACATACTGTCGATGTTCACTTAAAAAAGATTTTATATATTGAAGAGATTGTTTGATAAGATGGATACTATTTAGTTTGCTTAATAAAACACTGTGATCGGCGCTGTCAAATGCCCTGCTGAGATCGCCCTGCTGATATCGCAAAAGATCCCAACATGTGAGTTATTTAAATTTTCGTAAAATGAATAAATTGCTGTATCGATAGATCGTGATATTAGAAAACCATGTTGTTTCTACCAAATTATATTGATTTAAGTATACACTTAGTCTCACTAAATAGCTATACTCCAATGTTTTTGAAAATATGGAAGGGATCGTTATGAGACAATAATTCAAAAATTTAAACAATTTCGCTCGTAGGGAGAAAAAAACGTATTTAGACATGTTAGCTAAGGATTACAAAAATCCTAAAAAGCTCTGGTCTACTTTAATCGATTTTAATGTAAAAATTGCAAAATCATGTGATTTACCTAATAATTTAGCTGATCCCGAAAAAATTAATAATTATTTTTGTAAATTCTTACACTGTGTATCTGGGGATTGTCTAAACCAAATTGACTTCTATAACAACAATATTAATGATTTAAAATTTAAATGATTGTTTTACATTAGAAGAGGTAAGTAATATTATTAAGGAATTGCGGTCTAATGCTTACGGCGTTGATAATATATCGGCTTCAATGCTTAAACTTTGTACGCCCTTTATAATCAAATACATTACACACATTATTAACTGTTGCATAGAAAAAAAAGTTATTTTCCATAATTGTGGTGGACTGCCATTAGTAGGCCACTACCTAAAAAATCTAATCCGCAAACATTTTCTGATCTTAGAATAATAAGTATCTTACCAACTATTATACAAACAAATATACGAACATGCTTGTAAGACAGATATACTTCTTAACACCCAATGCGATTTTAGGAAAGGCTATTCCACATCCACCATCGATCACAGGTTGATGGTATCAAAATTGAAATATTATGGTTTTTATTATTCAGCAGTTGTGATAAAATCCTATTTAAGCAATAAATCTCAACGTGTTTGTAACAATAATACATTTTTAAATTCTATGAATGTTTTGTCTTGTATTCCCTAAGGCAGCGTCCTGGGACCGCTCCTTTTCTTAATTTATACTTCTTGCATTATCAAATCCATAAAAAATTGAAAAGTCCAAGCCTAAGCTGACGATACACAATTATATTACAGTTTTAAAAACGATCATTCCTTAACTGCTAATCAACTTATTAATGAAGATATAAACTTTCTTTCCAATACAATTTAAAACTAAATGCATCGAAATCTTGTGTTCTTTTTTTTTGGTTCAAAAAATAAAAAATAACTTGTTAAAAATCAATTTAATATTAATATTAATAACACCAAGTTGCCAATTGTTGAATCAGCTAGAAATCTAGGTATATATTTAGATACAGATATAATGTTTAGAGAACATGTAGGTAAAATTACCCGTTCAGCTTATCTTTCTTTAAAATTACTTGACTCCAGCAGGCATATTCTTAATCATAATTTACGGATAAAACTTAGTGAAACTCTTGTCTTGTCCAAACTAAACTACTGCGATTTTATCTATGGACCCTGCTTAGACTTGAACACTCAATATAGAATTCAGAAAATTTAAAATTCGTGCACAAAATTAATATTTAATCTTCGCAAATATGATCATGTTATTCTTAAAATAAGAGAATTAAATTGGCTTGATATGAAGGACGCAGGACACTCCATTTAGGTAACTATTTTCATAAATTAATAAAATGCATTCACAGCTCTTCCCCACTAATTAAAAAGTTTATAACTCGCAAAACAATTCGTGATCGTAACCTCCGCGACGTCACAACTTACACAATACCCCGTCGTCGAACCTATTTAAAAAAAGTTTTGTATATAATTCTATTAAATTGTACAACTCTTTTCCTTTAGAATTAAAAAAATCTGATGTGTCCAACACATGACTTTCCTATCTAATTATTATAGTTTTTTCCGGTTATTTTGTACAACCTATTGCAGCACCTCTATAAATGTTTAGAGGATAAACTAAATATATACATTTTCCACATACATTGTGACGAAGTCACTAAATTTTATTTTTAATTCATCTTAAAAATGTATATTTCAATTAATTCCCGCCTGAGAACATGTAGAAGTTCCCCCGTATTTTTGTTTCCCAAAAATGACCGGTTTTCAACAATTGCGAGTACCCTCGTAGGTTAAAATATTCTTTTATTTGCCGAAATCCGAATGGGCATTTTTAGAGTCGATTTCGTATTCATTATCTACTTTTAATTGTCAAGGTACAAGAAGGACATTTTTTGTATTTCTGAATTGTAAACAGTCGGCTGTAGTAGTGGTATCCCCACTTTGTCGTACTAGTCTTCCATCTTTCTTTACCGAAAAAGCATAAATTGATGGAAAGCTAAAAATGCCGCGTCTTGACTCCCGACACGCGAGAAACACCAGTCTTTTTTTCTAAAAATTTATAGTGACGACGGCGTTTAGTGCCGCGATATTAAATCCCGAATTTGTTAGCCCGTTGGATTGTTAAAGGTAGGAACCGTATATTATTTTTCTTTCTATTTTTATATTGGCTTTCATATAATTAGTTGGGACACCCGTGTTACAAAACAAGAATTTTGATTCACACCCAGGAATTATTATTTCATCCCTCAGTGGGACCCCGTTGGCAATTTTTTATTTGAGGTTGGATATGGACTAGATTCCGAGTGTTCTCTTAGTCTATGGCCACAGCTTATACAATACAGCTCCACAACTCCGTGTCGGCGTCTTTGATCTGGCGGTCGAGAACCAAGCAAGACGGAATGGTGCTATCTCTGTTAGATTCGAGGGAAAAGTCGGGCCCGGATTAAACAATTTTTTTATTATTGAAAAAATTGAAAACCTTGGCGTAATGAGTTTGGTTACATGCCATATTAAGTAAGTTATGGAAAATTAAATTTTTAATTTGTTTTAAATCTGTTAAATATAATTAAAAAAATTATTTAAATTTAAATATTGCGAAAAATAGCACATCTTTCGGATTAGAGGTAAAATAATTTGTATGTGGCTAGTAAAATCCTCGTTAACAAATTTTTTGAGCTAAAACAGTCACTTCACGACAAATTGTGGCTTGGATCCTTTTTACACCAAGGGCTTCAATTGTTAAAGAATTGTGTCACGCTCGTGGATGCAAATCAAGTGGTACCCCGTGTCTCTGGCAAGTGTTACTATTCGCGCAAAGGGTTTATACCTAGATAAACGAATGCTTCGACTGAGGTCTGGGAACTCTATGGTATTTTGGAATTATAAAGAATTTGTGCTTTTATTTTAACAATATTGGTTATATTTAGATGTATTCTTATTAATTGAAATACAGATTTGTAAAAGTAATACATTGACAATATTTATTAATATAATATGTTCAATTTTTATCTGACCATACCGAAGTAGGGAATTTTGAAATTTTATAGTAATGTGAAATTTGAATTACAATATTACACGATATTACATAATTAGTACTTATTTTAGGTAGATACTAAATTTGTACTTGGAGAAAGTAATATCGATTTTTACAAGAAAACTTGAAAAGTAAAATAATTTAGTTCCTATTTCTGATGTAAAACTTAAACCAAGAAAACAAATAAATTGTAGTTTGTTCAACAAGGGTGGATATGATAGCCATATTACACAAAGACGAAGTTTGAGCACGACGTCGTAGGCGGAGTACTCAATCGTCTGATTGTGATATGAACAATCCACTCGATATGGTCAGTATATTTTTTCTACGACCCACTAACCAAAATCTACAAATTTAAAAAATTATTTTAGGTTATTTAGACAAAATAACTAATTTTAAAATAATTTACGAAGTTGACTAATTTATAAAATAAAATAAACATGAAAAATTAATTAGTCCTCGGCCTAGATTCGATCCCGGGCTTTTCGCGTGGAAGGCAGATGCTCTGTCCTCATCTTCACCGAAACTTTCAGGACTTTAGTTTTAATACTCGTAATTAAATTAGTATCATGTAGTTTGATTAAAATTTATTTTTTTTAAATGTGGACACAATAAAAACAAAAATGCTATTATTTATCGAGTCTACACAAAAATTTTAATGTATATTTAATACCAATAACTAAAATATATATTGACAATTAGTTTAACAGAATTGTCACTTATTTAAAAAATTTTAAATAATAGGAGTTGGGTGACCAAAATATGAACTGTGATTTGTAGATTTAATTTTGTTAAAGTGTTCTCACTACCTAAAATGGATATGAAATATATTCGTAGTTGAACGCAATAACATACTTTTTCGTTTTGTAGTATGTGCGTAGATTGGCTAATATCCATGCACAGATTACAAAACGAAAAAGTATGCTATTGCCTTCAATTGAACGAATATATTTCATATTCATTCTAGGTAGTGAGACCACTGCAAAAAAAAAAAATTCGCCAATCACCGTTCATATTTTAATCAATCGACTGCTATTATTTTTAAAATTTTAAATAAATGACAATTCTGTCAAACTAATTGTCAGTATATTTTTTAGTTATTGAGATTAAACATACAATAAAATAAGTTATTCTTTTGGAAAACGTTAGCATGGATGACTAAAGGGTATTGGGTTAATTAATTCTAAAAGTGTGGTACAAATGTTATTTTTTGTAGCCAATTCTTCAAAATTATTTTGAAATATCTTTTCAATATTGAATATTAGTTCTACAAATTCATCATTTGACAGTTGCAGATTTCCAAATGTATCTGAATTGGCGTTATCATATGCCTTTAAAAAGCAATAAAAAGAAAAATCATCTAATTCAACGTGATCTTTGTTATATTTAAGACAGGTATCGCAGGAGTGGATCCGCAAGGCTTTTGTTAAAAGGTAACCACACACATACCTGATAAAATTTTTCTGTAGCAATTCGTCTTTACAATAATTTAGGGTGTTAATAATTTCATCATAAAATAAAATACAAGGTGTTCCATTTAAAAAACATACATTTTAATTTGCCAGGCAAAAACGTGACACCCTGTATATCCAAAGATATTTTTAAAATATGTAGGTATTTTTCAAATTCATATAACTTTTATTTAAAACTTTCTTGCGTGTCTACAACAAAATAATGAACAATAACGCACTAATGGGACACCCTGTATAAATTATATTTTTAACAATGAAAATTTTTTATAATGTGGTACTTATCGGTTTGGGTCCTTGGGAAAACTAAAGAATGTTTTTTTTGCAGGTATAACCCTTATTAAAACAGATTTTGACTGCACAAACAGAATGATGTCTTTTTTTTTTAATTATTCTACTCACAGCTAAAGAGTCACCAAAATAATAACAGTACCTTTAACTCAAACAAAATCAACGAAATTATAGGCTCCACGAAATTATACAATCAACGAAATTATACGCACGACTCAACAACTTACCTAAGTACGATTCTGAACGCCAAAACCGTCTTTTCCCTTCGAAGGCGGAGCTTAAGCGATGCGCGACGAAATCGACGCAAACCGTTGCCGCCAAGAGAGTGTTTTAGCTGTATTGTATAAGCTGTGCTATGGCTACATCCAATTTCCTGTAAAAACCGCCCAGTTAGTACCGAAGTGAGAGGTTCGACCTGTTTCATTTCTTTTTTTTTTATTATTTATTGTTTTAATTTTTTTTGGAAGTTGGAACTATCCTCAACGTAGTGTTCTCTTCTGACAACGTATCTAACTTCCAAAAAAAAAAAAAAAAAAAAAAAAAAAAAAAAAACGTTTAAATTAATTTCCGCGCCTCACTTCGTGTAAAAATTATTTTGTTTTTTTTCATTTAATTGTATTTGAATCATTCCGTTTCTCCTGTTCACGACTAGTTATTGAATGAAGTCAGACGGCTCCTGTAAAATTAAATTCACACATACATTCTCGTTAGACGCTGGGCAAAATTCGTAAATATTATTTTATACGATCGCCGATTCAAAGCACCGTTTAAATAAACCTGATTTATCAGTCGACGAGAATTTTGCGTTCCCATCGATGGGATATTAAGATACAAGGGGACTCCGACAATTCTGATTTCATTTATGTGCTTGCATCTGATTTTCGTCATATTTAAATTGTTTTTAAGTATATTAATTTATTTTCATACATTTTCCATATACTTGGCGTTTCGCGATTCCCAATCCGATTAGCCTCCTGAGCTAGTACACTATAAATATTTAAAGGTTTAAATAATTTTCAATAATGTTAATAATTTATTTATTAAATTTCCCAAGAATAGGGATCCGTTAATGTTTAAATAATTTTCAGCTTTAGTAATTTATTTATTGAATTTTCCAGATATAGGGATCTGTTAATATTTGTATAATTTTCAACTTTAGTAATTTATTTATTAAATTTTTCAGATATAGGGATCTGTTAATATTTACATAGTTTTCAACTTTAATAATTTATTTATTAAATTTTCCAGATATAGGGATCTGTTAATATTTAAATAGTTTTCAACTTTAATAATTTATTTATTAAATTTCCCGAATATAGGGATCCGTCAATATTTTAACGTCTTTCAGAGTTAATAGCTTATTTATTAAATTTTCCGGATATACCGATCCGTCGAGAGTTAAATAATTTTTTTTTTATAACTTTAATAATGTTGGATTAAATTCCCGATTATAGTTATCCGTCAATATCTAAATAATTGTCAACTTTAGCATTTATTTAATAAATTTTCCAAATATAGAGATCCGTCATTATTTAAATAAATTCCTACTTTGTTAATTTATTTTTAATAATTTTTTTTTTAATTTAGGGATCCGTCTATGTTTAAATAGTTTTCAACTATATTAATTTGTTTTTATTATTTTTTTTTAATATGGAGGTCCGTCAATAATTAAATAGCTTTTGACTTTAATAGCTAATTTTCATTTTTTTTTCCTTTGTATACTAGGACTTGTGAGATTTCTGAACCGCCTAGCCTCCTGTGCTGGCGATCCGTAACTGTTTCTCACTATTTGAATTGTTTACAAGTGTATTAAATCATTTTCCGTAAACCTCATGACGCCGTAGTATTTAAGTAATCGCAATTGTATCAATTTACTTTTAGTATTTTCTTTTTCTCTCTCCGCTTTATACTAGGTCCGCTATTATTTTCTTACAGGCCGGTTTAATTTTATTGTTTCTTTATATAATTATGTTTTACCGCCGTGCCAGACCCGTGTACCGGCACTGTTGTAATTTTTTGTAAATATATATTTTATTATCTATTTCTGTGTTTCTATTATTGCTGTTTCTTGACCGTTCTCTTTCAGGGTACCGTAGGGTACAAGGTATTAAGAAGAAAAGTGTTTTTTTTTATTTTTATTTATTCTAATATAGTGATAACCTAGCAGTGACCGCCTGGAATTATTTTTACCTCCACTGAGTTCACCTTGAGTACACTCTGGTGTACCACAGGGTCGCAAAGCAAACTGCGATATCAAAACTGGCGCCTGAGCAACTCCTATTCGGGAATTACATTAATAGCGCCACAGACTCGTTGATTCACAGCAGGTGAACCAGGAGCCTGTCACAACATCTACCTCGAAACATTTTTCTATAGATATTCATTGAAAACGAAAATACTGAAAAATTTAAATTTAGCACGTTTCCTACAATTTTTCTATTACGGTCCATTTTAGAAAAATCATGTATAAACAAAAATTATAAAAATCAATATCGCAAACAACTTTTAGTTCAACATTTTTCATAAAAATCAGAATTTTGCACATTTTATCAAATTTCTCGAATACGGACCATTTCAGAAAATTTTGACAAAAAGCAGAAATTATAGATAATAATATAAGAAGTAACTTTTATTTGAACAATTTTTTTCTCCAAATATAAATAACAGATATATTCCATAAAATATAAAAACGGCCTCCCATAAAGTACCCACCCAGATGTTCCGACTTTGTCCAAAATCTAATAATTTCACGTCAGGCCGAAATAAAACTTAAGTTTAAAATTTAATATTTTTTTATCCATTTTTAGGTTTTCTTCAAATTTCAAAATTTACAATTTTCTCAAATGTCTCGAATACGGTCCATTTAAGACCATATTTTCGGCACTTTCAGGAAAAAAAACAAATTTAGCAAAACTTGAAGCAAATGTATGTTAAAATTGTACGTCCATATCTTTTTTCATAATCAAGTTATGAGCTAATGTGTTACTTTATAGTGGTATATCCTGTAATATGTGTGATTCTTATTCTTTGGTAACGGTAGCTTATAAACTAACATCGTCTATCCATAAATTCATAGTACATTTAAAAATAAACTAACAAAATAACATATTGTTTCAGGGTGGACATGTCTCAGGCTCACAGAAACGGCAGCTACTACCAGTGTTGTTCAGGATTCTGCATCGATCTGCTGCAAAAGTTCAGCGAAGAGCTCGGTTTTACTTACGAATTGGTAAGAGTAGAAGATGGAAAATGGGGTACGAACGACAACGGGAAATGGAATGGATTGATAGCCGATTTGGTAAACAGAAAAACTGATATGGTTCTGACTTCGCTGATGATCAATGCAGAAAGGGAAGCTGTGGTTAGTATTTTCAAAGTGAAATAATTTTTCGAATGTTACTCGTATCTGATGTTACTAATTTCAGTTACAGTTCAAGCTATCAGGGTCAGTTGAAGAAGGTGTTATATCTATAGGTGGGAAGGGTGGGTTGCTTTACAACATCTCGCTGAATCGACAAGAAAAATTCAATTCTTGTGGCAGTTTTCATGAACTAATATTTTTAAAAAGAAATAATACATCATAGATTACCTAACAAAGGCGCATCCAGTGTTAAAGCTTATTAAATATACAATCAAATGATAAAAAAATTAGTTCCATATATAAAAATTACCTTCTGTGGTTATGGAGTACCCTATTTATTAAAATATATCTGATATCTCCTCGTATTGTAGTTCAGAAATGAATTATATTTGTTATGCAGGATTGATTAAGTATAATCGTCTTTCTAATCCTTATATAAAATCAATGGAGATTGAAACACGCTGGTTTAAACACACAATACTACATTTTATTCACTGTAACTTGGAACAGTGATCTATTTTGTGACATAGTTTTTTAAAATTTGCAACTTTAATAATTCAAGAAGATTTGTTTTAATATATTATGGTGATACTTAAGATGTGACACAGCTGATGAAATGATGTGTATTGTTTTAAAGAAGAACCAATAATGTTTGTGATGCTACAATATCATGTCTATTTGTAGACTTTGCGATGACAGCTTACAGTTATTTGAATTTCAAATGTTGCTGCCTAGATAACCTCATAAATTACTTAGTGAGAGACATTATGTTAATAGAGAGATAAATGGCAGTACTATTATAAATATTCTATGTCTTGTGTGATTCACTTGATTTAACCGTATAGCTAAATTATTTTAATTCGTGAATATTATTCTAGTTTCCAAAATTTGCTGATTAGAGAAAAATAAAACCGAAACAATTTATCAAGGTTTCCATTTTCTTTTTTACAAAATCTATTAATATATAGATTGTATTGCGACAACTAATGAATAAATCTAGTAGTAAGTTTCACTAAATAGAGCAAAAATAGATAAACATTTATAAATAATAAACTAATAGAAGTAATTAGACATATCATACGTTTTTCACTAAATTATGTGAATATTTATCCTTTTAAGACGTTGATACCAAAGGGAAAGCCAAAGAGGGATAGTAATTTATGTATCAAACAAAAGCAATTTATAGGAATGGCACGACGTCGTAATAACGTCAAATGTCAGTTATTAAAAGCACGATTTAAATATCTACAGTTCATCAAATTTCTAGAGGTGTTCGACGCCCAGACAGAGAACGCGCTACGTGTGACTAAGATAGCTATTGTACAGTCTGCTAAACAAGTTATTTTAAATAGTTTTTAATATTTTTAGGTAATTAAATTTTAAAAGTGTGGAATAGTTTAGGGATTAAATTGGTCTGATTGGACTTTCTTAGAACGTTTTTAAAAGCAGCTAAAGATAGTATGTAGAATTGAAGATAATTATTATGCCATAAAAGGTGTTTTGGAATTCCTTCAACCTTTTGAAATTGAGTCAGAAAATATAAATTTTATAGGATAGCGGAAAATACCTATAATTTTTTTGTAGGCCTTTGTAAATCGTGGAAATAGTTTATATTTTATTTCTACCTTATTAAGGAAAATGGTACCTATTATTAATAACGGTTGTTTCTGAAACATTACTAAAATTTTCGAAATTTTGTTTTTCTACAAAATAATAAACTATACTATTTAGAAAAAAATTTATTTCTCTTATAATTTTATAAAAAATAACAGGGGAATATTTACATTTCTTGATCTATTAAACAAAACGATCAATTATCTCGACGAATGACACCATGTTCTAGTACGGAAGCTAGCTTTACATTTTTGTTGGTGGTTTCATGGGTTTCATATCAATTTTTTGTAATTGTAGTTTACACGTACATATACCTCTTAACACTTGTTTGCTTTATTAAAAAAGTGTGTTGTTGTGATTTACGTCGAAATAAGTCAAAAACAACTTGAAACCCCATATAAAATCAAAAAGGAGAAACGGAAAAAAATTGAGCCTGTAAATGAACACAACTCAGAAATAAAAATAGCTATCTAATAATAAAAAAATAAAATTTGATTCTTGTGCAGCTTCATCTATATCATTAACTGTTTTTGGTTTTTTAATGGTTTTTCTTGGTGATGAAAATTCCGATATCTCACGGTTATCGATTCCTTTTTTCTCTCCAGAAATGCGGACGACAGTGTTTTTAGATACTCCTGTGGCTGCAGCAACACGATCATTTACATTTTTAAATGGTATTGAAGGTGAATTAAAGTTTCCTTCTCTTCTCATAAACTCTATAACATTGGCTATTATTTCGCGAGATTGACTGTTAATCACGCGGCCTCTTAATTTGCTATTAAACTCCATACTTAGGTTCTATTAAACTGTAATGAGCAAAAAACAAACGAAAATAAAAGAAATGTTTTAGCGAAATTTACATCTGACATTTACGTCTGAATGAAATAGTGAAATACTTGATGCGCAGAGTGTACTTTCATTGCGTAAATCCGTCGGGATGCCTGTCAGTAGTGCTTTCTCTGTCTAGCCGTCGAAAGCCTCTAGAAATTTGATGAACTGTAAGAGCAAAAACGAGGCTTTAAAGTTTATTTTTTCAATAAATTTTTATCAAGAAATCGATATAATATGTAAAGTGTTCTTTTAATTTAACTTAAATGTGAAACTGTCCCTTAATACAGTTAATACCGTTCAGACTGTTACAATAATGTATATAGTATGAACTTCTCTAAGCACAACTTGTTTGTTGATGTTTCAGGTGGATTTCAGCGTTCCCTATATGGAAACCGGCATAGCGATCATAGTTGCAAAACGAACGGGAATTATTTCACCCACTGCATTCCTCGAGCCCTTCGATACCGCATCCTGGATGTTGGTCGGCATCGTTGCAATACAGGCCGCCACGTTTATGATATTTCTGTTTGAATGGCTCTCACCCAGCGGATTTGATATGAGGCTTTCCTTTAACCAGGTAAGATATAAGATATCTTTATCAATAAATAATAACAATGGTCATAATACATAATATAAGATAAGTCAAACAGAAAAGAGAATTGTACGTTTTTATTATACCTTGTGGTTCGAAATCAGACTCTATATTTTAATATAATATATAACTTAATATAAATTATTGACGGTCGGTTTTATTTCTTCACTCTTTCAAGCATTTCTCTGCTTCTTCCAATAGATTCGAGAAGACTTCCCCCAATCAGGCTTGGGTCCAGCCACTGACTGCCCTCAATTAGGCTTTGGGTTCAGTCTGCTTTTCCTCTTCTTGAGGTTTGCATGGCGGCGCTAAAACATCGATGTCCTATTGTGCCACCATTTCAATGCCCTACTCCTTCCTATTTACACACAATCGAAGTTTTAACAGTTGAAGTAGTAAAGAGCTGTTAAAGTCCCTTTAATTATATAATGACAAAGTGACTCTGTTATTGATAGCAAAATGACCTTTGAAGGTACAAGTTAAAAGTAGTTATATCATGTTTGTAGCGAGTGTTTCGTTTGTATATGATTAACTGAATAATAATCTTATTAAAAAGGTAGGTCGGTTGTGTTTTCACTAATATTTTGTGAAGGAGACACGATAAGTGCGGATAATTTGTGGGAAATGGGCTGACTTCTTCGTACACCACAAATCAGATGCATGCACGAATTTTGCACAACCTGCACCCTTCTGATACCCGCAGAGTCGATAAACGGACCATAGACGCAATCGCCATGGTTAAATTTTGACGGCCCCATTGCCTCATATATCTTTTTTATTGGAAGAGAAAGAAACTGTCTACTAGAATAAATTGTTTTGATATTAATATAAGCATTATTGATGCAGGTGTTTATGTTTTTTAAACTTTAATTTGTTATCCATAATTACTCCAAGATTTTTTGCTTCTTCTGTTGGTTTTATTTGCTGGTCATTGACCTTTATTGTAATGATGCTTTTTTAGGACTAAACACCAATATAGATATTTTATTAGAATTTATACTCAGAGCGTGATTGGAAGATCACTGAATAATATTATTCACATCTTCATTAATGCATTCTAAGCCTTGAATATAATTATTTGTGTTGAAAGAGTGATACATTTGCGTATCATCGACATAGTGGTGGATTTTACTAACGTTTGTGACTCTGCTAATATCAGAAGTGTATAGGGTATACAAAAGGAGTCCTAAAATGGAGCCTTGTGGTACCCCTGTTAAAATATTTAAACTGGATGACAATTGCTTCCCATACTTTACTCTTTGTGACCTATTACTATGGTAGTTCTTGAAAATATTTATACAATCAGCAATGAAGCCTATTGATTTTAGAATTGCAAGTAGTAGAGTGTCAAATGCTTTAGAAAAATTAAGTAACACCAGTATTGTAATATTTCCATTATCCGTGGCTCGTAGTACATCATCAACTATGTTTAACCAAGCGGTTTGACAGTTATGTGAAGGCCTAAATCCGGACTGAAATTCGGGTAGTAAGTTATTTATGTTTATGTAATATCTTAGTCGTTCATCTACAACACGTTCTAAAACGTGGGAAGTATGCTTATTGGCTTTAGATCTTTCAATTCATGAGGTTTATTTACTTTTGGAATGGGCCTGATTTAAACTTGTTTCCAAACATTAGGAAAAGTATTTAATTCAAGACAGTTATTTATTAAATGTATTATATAAGGACCAATAAAGAGAGAACACTGCAGTAGCATTTTTATATTTAGCCCATCAGAGCATTGGATTTAATATTATATAATAATTTTTGAACTTTATTGTCAGTTGCAGGTGTAAAAATAAATAAATTTATTTCAGGTATTCTGTTCATAGAATCATTCATAATATGTTAATTAACTGGAATATTTGGAACTGCATTTAGGAAATAATTATTAATTTTTTCGATATCATTAAAGTTATATTTTGTTTTTACGTAAATTTAGATATTATAATTTTTCCATATACCATTAATTAATACCTTCATTTCTAATTTTATTTTCGAAATATGCTTTTTTTAATTTTTGTATGCAAGTGTAGTATAATTTGTTAGCGTCCTGCAATTTTTAAAATGGACAGGAATATTTGTTTTTTACTTTCCTATCTGTATACAGATATAAGGAAAGTATAGGAATCATGATTTTTTTCGACCTCGAGTTTTCGACGGATTTTTACGTTTTGAGGTCCCCTGAATCCGTTTTGACTATTTTCGCGATGATGTCTGTGTGTGTGTGTGTGTGTGTGTGTGTGTGTGTGTGTGTGTGTGTGTGTGTGTGTGTGTGTGTGTGTGTGTGTGTGTGTGTGTGTGTGTGTGTGTGTGTGTGTGTGTGTGTGTGTGTGTGTGTGTGTGTGTGTGTGTGTGTGTGTGTGTGTGTGTGTGTGTGTGTGTGTGTGTGTGTGTGTGTGTGTGTGTGTGTGTGTGTGTGTGTGTGTGTGTGTGTGTGTGTGTGTGTGTGTGTGTGTGTGTGTGTGTGTGTGTGTGTGTGTGTGTGTGTGTGTGTGTGTGTGTGTGTGTGTGTGTGTGTGTGTGTGTGTGTGTGTGTGTGTGTGTGTGTGTGTGTGTGTGTGTGTGTGTGTGTGTGTGTGTGTGTGTGTGTGTGTGTGTGTGTGTGTGTGTGTGTGTGTGTGTGTGTGTGTGTGTGTGTGTGTGTGTGTGTGTGTGTGTGTGTGTGTGTGTGTGTGTGTGTGTGTGTGTGTGTGTGTGTGTGTGTGTGTGTGTGTGTGTGTGTGTGTGTGTGTGTGTGTGTGTGTGTGTGTGTGTGTGTGTGTGTGTGTGTGTGTGTGTGTGTGTGTGTGTGTGTGTGTGTGTGTGTGTGTGTGTGTGTGTGTGTGTGTGTGTGTGTGTGTGTGTGTGTGTGTGTGTGTGTGTGTGTGTGTGTGTGTGTGTGTGTGTGTGTGTGTGTGTGTGTGTGTGTGTGTGTGTGTGTGTGTGTGTGTGTGTGTGTGTGTGTGTGTGTGTGTGTGTGTGTGTGTGTGTGTGTGTGTGTGTGTGTGTGTGTGTGTGTGTGTGTGTGTGTGTGTGTGTGTGTGTGTGTGTGTGTGTGTGTGTGTGTGTGTGTGTGTGTGTGTGTGTGTGTGTGTGTGTGTGTGTGTGTGTGTGTGTGTGTGTGTGTGTGTGTGTGTGTGTGTGTGTGTGTGTGTGTGTGTGTGTGTGTGTGTGTGTGTGTGTGTGTGTGTGTGTGTGTGTGTGTGTGTGTGTGTGTGTGTGTGTGTGTGTGTGTGTGTGTGTGTGTGTGTGTGTGTGTGTGTGTGTGTGTGTGTGTGTGTGTGTGTGTGTGTGTGTGTGTGTGTGTGTGTGTGTGTGTGTGTGTGTGTGTGTGTGTGTGTGTGTGTGTGTGTGTGTGTGTGTGTGTGTGTGTGTGTGTGTGTGTGTGTGTGTGTGTGTGTGTGTGTGTGTGTGTGTGTGTGTGTGTGTGTGTGTGTGTGTGTGTGTGTGTGTGTGTGTGTGTGTGTGTGTGTGTGTGTGTGTGTGTGTGTGTGTGTGTGTGTGTGTGTGTGTGTGTGTGTGTGTGTGTGTGTGTGTGTGTGTGTGTGTGTGTGTGTGTGTGTGTGTGTGTGTGTGTGTGTGTGTGTGTGTGTGTCTGTGTGTGTGTGTGTGTCTGTGTGTGTGTGTGTCTGTGTGTCTGTGTGTGTGTGTGTGTGTGTGTCTGTATAACGCATAACTCATGAACCGATACACAGAAAAACACCAAATTTTAAACTTAAGCTTTGTTTCAGCGTCCATTGAGCTGATTAGATTTTGGGCAGTGTCGGAACATCTGGGGGGGTACTTTATAGGTGGTCATTTTTATATTTTATGGAATATATCTGTTATTTACGTTTGGAGAAGAAAATTCTTCAAATAAAAGTTACTTCTAATATAATTATCTATAATTTTTGTTTAATGCAAAATTTTCCTAAAATGGTCCGTATTCGAGAAATTTGACAAAATGTAAAAAACATAATTTTTTATAAAAATTGTTCAAATAAAAGTTGTTTATAATGTAATTCTCTATAATTTTTGTCCTATACATAATTTCTCTAAAATGGACCGTATTCGAGATATTTGAGAAAATGTGTAAATTTCGAAATTTGAAGAAAACTCAAAAACGGATAAAGGAAAAAACATTAAATTTTAAACTTAAGGTTTATTTCGGCCTGACGTGAAATGATTAGATTTTGGACAAAGTTGGAACATCTGGGGGGGTACTTTATGGGAGGCCGTTTTTATATTTTATGGAATATATCTGTTATTTATGTTTGGAGAAGAAAATTGTTCAAATAAAAGTTACTTCTAATATTATTATCTATAATTTTTGTTTTATGTCAAAATTTCCTGAAATGGTCCGTATTCGAGAAATTTGACAAAATGTGCAAAATTCTGATTTTTATGAAAATTGTTAAACTAAAAGTTGTTTGCGATATCGATTTCTATAATTTTTGTTTATACATGATTTTTCTAAAATGGTCCGTAATGGAAAAGTGCTAAATTTAAATTTTTCTGTATTTTCGTTTTCAATGAATATCTATAGAAAAATGTTTCGAGGTAGATGTATGTGTAAAATGTATATATTTAGTTTATCCTCTAAACATTTATAGAGATGCTGCAATAGGTTGTACAAAATAACCGGAAAATGCCTATAATAACTAGATAGGAAAGTCATGTGTTGGACACATCAGATTTTTCATGTAGTTTTTTCCTTGTCGCGTAGCTTTATAAGCAGTCTGATATTTTCAGTAAGCCAGGGATTTTATTTTCGTGTTATTTTAATTTTTTTGTAGGGAGCATACTTATTAAAGACAAAGATTAGAGAATTATTGAAAAATGCAATTTATTCATTAATATCTTTTATTTATACGTCCTCCAGTTCTGCAAGGAAACAACTAAATTTTTGAAATCTCTGATTGTTTTGAATTCTGTAGGTCGTTTTCCTGAGGCTAATGTAAATTCGCAATAGACTTATTTATGGCGAGACCTGTTCCACTGGTAGTACATCTGTATGTTGGATTATCTCTTCATTTGATGTAATTATTAAATCAATCAGTGTTTGTGAATTTGGCAGTATATGGGTTGGGAATTTATTACCTGGACCAAGTTTAGAGTATCCAATATAGAGTTTAATTTTTGAGATGCATTAGAATTTTTTTGTAACACATCTATGTTAAAATCTCTAAGATATAAAATGTTATCAAATTCAGGTAATAAATCCCCAACAGTTTCTTCAAAAACGCTTATAAAGTTATTCAGTGTATAGTCCGGTGGCCTATACGTTACACAGATGCCGATATTCATTTTATTTATGTGTATTTTCATCCATAATTGTTCAATATTATTACTTGAATCTATAACACTATAGCAAATATATTTTATTAAAAATATACAAACCCCTCCATCACTATTTAATACTCTGTTTTGACGTACCAGGTTATATCCATCAATACTAATAATATCATCACCAATGTGTAGTTTTACCATATTTCTGTAATATCAAAGTTATGTTGAATTACATACTTTCTGAGATCAATAATTTTAGGAAAAATGGAACAAATGTCAAGAAGAGCAATTTTCAGATATAAAAGAATAGTAAATTTATGATATATAATATACAGTAATAGTAATAAATTGACCTATTTCAATTAACAATTTAAATTTTGGTTAAGTAGTTTTAAAAGAGAATTAATACCTAAATAGTAAAATACACCGAATTATTTTCAATTTACAATTTTATGAACTAAACCAAAACAGAAAACAAAGCAAAGTCCAATGGCAAATTTCCCTACTAAAGATAAAGGAAATAAACATTTATTAAATTAATTGAATATACTTTAATATTTTAAAAATAAATTAATAACTAAATTGTATAAGAGATTTACCAAATTATTTTCTCAATTATTCACAAATTCGAGTTATAGAGGCCAAAATTGCATATTTTTACATTAAAGAATTCATGCTAACATTTGTACATAACAAAAATATGAAAGGACCTAGATTAAATTTTTAAGGTACATCCTTAGAAATATTAAAAGTTTATAATGACATACACAACAAAACTGCATCAGGACATGATGGAATGTCAGTAAAAATATTTCAAAACTTACCTACCTCTGCATTAGACGTTTTATCCATTTTAATAAATAAAAGTTTTATTGAAGGTACTTTTCCTCCTTTTCTTAAATCAAAGTGTTGTGGTTCCATTATATAAGGAAGGAGACTTGACTGAGCCATCTAATTTTAGACCCATATCTCTAATTCCGACACTCGGAAAAATTATTGAGAAACTTGTAAAAACTCGACTAGTTAGATATCTAGACCAAAATAATATATTGGACATAAATCAATTCGGTTTTCAACACAACAAAAACGTATCGGACGCTGTTTCTTCTTGTTTGGAATTAGCTTATACAAGTTTAAATTTCAACGAGGCCGTAGCTGCAGTATTTTGTGATCTGATTAAAGCTTTTGACTGTGTCAACCATGGAGTACTGCTGCAAAAGCTTGAAATTTATGGCATAAGAGATGTGGCCTTGAGTTGGATGAAATCCTACCTTTTAGGTCGCAAACAGTTAGTCCAAACTGTTTTAGACTCGAACACAAGTGACATAAAATGGGGTGTCCCTCAAGGTTCTGTTCTTGGGCCCACCCTGTTTTTAATTTATATCAATGATTTAGGTAAGTTAAATATCTCAGGAAGCTTCACTCTATTTGCTGACGATACTACTATCTTGTGGCACAATAAAGACGTCAATATTCTTTATTCAAATATTAGTAATGACCTAAAATCCTTTAAAACATGGTGCACTGCAAATTGTCTGTCATTAAATTTAAAAAAAAACAAAAATACTAACCTTTAAATGTAATGTTCCTGAAATTTTAATAGATATGGATACTGTAGAAGCCACAAACTGTACAAAATTTTTGGGTTTAAATATCGACATGGATTTGAAATTCAAATCTCATGTGGATTCACTTTTAAAAAAACTCGCATCGGGTTGTTATGCCATTAGAACCACCTCTCATGAATTGGGAGTTTGTGCAGCAAAAACTGCATATTATGCGTTAGTTGACTCCCATCTACGTTATGCTGTTCAGTTTTGGGGAGTCTGTTCTGCCGAGTTATTTGACAGAGTCTTTATAATGCAGAAACGGGCAATAAGGTTCTTATGTGGAGCACACAGATTAGTTTCATGCAGACCGCTGTTCTTAAAACAAGAAATATTAACATTAACATCTTTATTTATCTTAGAAACTTGTTGCATGATCCACAAGAACAAGTCGAAATATAAATCGAATACATCCCGTGTAACTCGCCAAACGGATAACTGGAAGTTGCCTATTCCCAAAACTGAACTAATAAGAGACTCTTTTATATACAATGGTATCAAAATGTACAAAAGACTATCGCATACGTTGACAGATGTTGAGTCACAGAATTGTTTTAGAAAGCTGCTCAAGAGATTTCTGTTAACTAGGCCTTATTATAATATTATAGAATTTTATAATGACGAGACACTGTGATATGTGTTTTATTTTGTTTTGTTTTATTTTATTTTAGATGTATGTATTAATGTTAATTTATAATGTTTGTTTATATTTTAATGACTATTTATTTATTTGTAATTTGTATACTATTTATACAATATTGTGTTTGTATGACTATTTATTTATTTGTAATTTGTACAATATTGTGTTTGTCAATAAGTATTTTAACTTGGACAATAAACATATATTCTCTCTCTCTCTCTCTCTCTCTCAATATCTATAATTTTAGAGAGAGATAAAAATAAACTCCGAAAAGCTAAATCTCGTAACTAATTTATTGTTAAATCAGTACTAACCGAGTCAAAAGCCAAAAAAGATTAATAGTCACGTGTGACGTATTATACGATATTTTAAGTAAAATATCAAATATCGATCACTATCTAACAAAAAATCCTCAGTTTTTTAAGCCACACGGTAATATGCGTGAATTTAGAACATAAACTTTTTACTATTGTAATTTGGTGGTTGCGGCTAAAGGCATTGAAGGAAAAACTTTCGCAAATAATATATTCGTATCTTTTTTTTTTTCAGAGTCCTTCGGCGTCGCATAGATTCTCCCTATTCAGGACTTACTGGCTAGTGTGGGCCGTTTTGTTCCAGGCCGCCGTACACGTCGACTCTCCTAGGGGATTTACCGCGAGATTTATGACCAACGTTTGGGCAATGTTCGCCGTTGTCTTCCTCGCTATCTACACTGCCAATCTCGCAGCCTTCATGATCACTAGGGAAGAGTTCTTCGAATTCTCGGGTGAGGTTTTATATACAATTTTCGTTTTTCTGACCTGGTTTTATTTCGGGAAATGCCGGTGTGGTAACTTAACAATGTTTTGTTATTTTATTTTGTTATTTTTCTTTCACTATTTTTTTTTATTTTCATATTTATAATAATGGGTTATTGACTTATATCTCTTGCATTAAAGTAAAAATATTTTTTTATTTTTTAAAAAATATTAAAATAATTTTATATTTTCCTCTAATTTTGTCAAAAAAATGCAAAAGTTTTGAAAATTGGTTGCAAACTACCAACCAGAAGAAAATCCTGGAAACTGTCAGATGAGAGTTACTGTGGCGACAGCAAGCTAGTGAACAACATTTAACAATAAAATATGTCAACAATACTCCTGTAATTATTTAAAAATACTAGTAGATCCGGGAATGGTATCTTTTTATTATCAAAATGTAAGAGGCCTTCGAACCAAACTATCTCAATAAAGTCTTATACTGCTCATACGATGTAATTAATCTTACGGAAACATGGCTCATAGACGAGATCAACGATGCCGAAATTAATGTTTTAATAGCTGTTAGGAAAAAAATGTCTTTAATTATTATCAACTCAAGCCCATCAATTGAGCAACTGTTCATTCACCCGGACCTAAGTAAGTGCAAACACATCTTAAGTACCATGTACATTCCTCCCAAATCTCATCCTAACCTATATCAACTTCATTATGATCGTAAATGGGCAATAGCCAGACAGTTTTACCTATTTGAATTAAATATTTCTGTCCTTCAGCTACTACTCATCCTACATCTTCATTTGCAGGTGCTTTCGAAATAGTGTCTAATATAATATATGTATGTTGTACAACATCTTCCAGTCTAACAATGCCTTCCACACAAAGGATGTTAATATTGACTTTGTTCTGTTCCCTATTGAACTAATACTGCTTCTCACCGATGATATTTTTATCTCAGCTTCCTCTGGAAACAACAGTACAATTTAGGTCGAACCCAAGATGCTGAAGCTTTAGTCAATAATCCCTCTTATTCAAAAGTAGTTACTAATAATAGATTTGACGTATTGAATGATTTAAAAAATTTTCCTCCTTTACCATCTTCTTCGTTTCCCAATTTCCCATCTACCATTTCTTCTATTAGAAAACCGAAATCTAATAATACAACCCAAAAACAACGAAAAGCAGCATCTCCTCTGCGTTCTCCTTTACCCCGTTACCGGGAAAGAAACAATCAAAAAAGTCAACCTATAATTCGCATATGGAAGATTTCATAAAATACAAAGAATCGCTCATTGACGGCATTTCCAAATTTGTAAATAATGTCTTTTTATCATATCCTTCTTCATCCAAAATTAATGATAATCAAAATATAATTTCTAACCTTAATTCTGATATTAGGGTATTTATTTCAAATTTACTTAATTTTGAAAACGAAACAGAACTAATGGAAATTAATAGTGACAGTGAATCGTCTTTCTAACGAAAATGCACTTACAATCATACAATGGAATTCAAGATCTTTAAATAAAAATAAACCTAATCTTCTAAAATTAATTAAAACAAAAGATGTAGATATTATCATAATATCTGAGACTTGGTTTAAAAATGGCCAAAACAATTCTATTAACGGATATTCATTAATTTCAAAAAATCGAGCAGATGGGTATGGTGGCGTAGCTATATTCGTTTCCAATAAAATAACCTTCAAGCAATTACAAATTAATCAAAATTATAACAATAAAATTGAAGCATGTGCTGTTCAACTGGAAAAATCTAAAATTTCCATAATATCGCTATACAATGATTCGAAAAATAACATTTCAACTACTGACTGGGAAAACCTCTTTTCTCAATTCAACTCACCGGTATTAATCTGTGGAGATTTTAATTGTCAAAATTCCTTATGGGGTAGTATTAGTAATGATCGAAGTGGTTTAGGTTCAGTTGAAGCTCTAAATAACCTAAATTTAATTGTTTAAAATGATGGCTCTCCCACACGAATTTCTGCCTCGAACACTCCTCCTTCTGTTTTAGACCTTGCTATATCTTAGCACCTAAATGTGAATGGAAAACAATTTTTGATACTATGGGTTCTGATCATCTTCCTATCTTAATAACTATTACAAATAATCCCGATAAATATTAAATATTTGGAACGAAAAAAAGGCTAACCGGGTTTCCTTCAAATCATATTTGGTCAATATTTTTACCTCTTCATCATCTGAATCCACTTCATTCCCAAATTTTATTGAAGCTGTCACGGCAGCTGCAGATTTATCTATGCCCAGAAACAATCCTTTTACTCCTTCAAAGTTCCTTCCAGTATGGTGGGACTCTGAGTGTTCCGATTTAGTTGAGAGTAGAAATAGCCTTATGCAACACATCGAATTTTGACAATTTTATTTTTTATAAAAATCTGCAGGCCAAAATTAAACTGATATTCAAACAAAAAGCACAGAACAGCTGGAAAAAATTTGTTAGTAATTTAAACAAAAATACTCCAATATCTTCAGTATGGAGATATATTAAAAGTATTTCAAACAAAAATAAATATAATAACAAAACTGTTCTGGCTCCAGATCTAATAGAAAAATTATTTGACCATATTGCTCCTCCATTTGTTGATTCGAGTTTTATTCCTCAGCTGGTAAATAATAGGGAATTGGAAAATAAAAATAACCTTTATTCAAAAATAACTTTAACTGAATTAGAATTAGCAATTAAAACCACTTGTAATACAGCTCCTGGAAAAATAGCTTTTCTTATTCTTTGATTAGAAATTTACCAAACAATTCAAAAAGTGTCTTAGTTGAAATTTATAATCAATGGTGGTTACAAGGACTTCTTCCTGAATCTTTTAAGGAAGTGGTAATTATATTTATTATTAAACCTATGAGAGACCCTAGCGATCCATCGTCTTACCGTCCAATTTCTCTGTTATCTTGTTTTGCTAAAACTTTTAAGAGAATTATTAAACGTCGTTTAGAATGGTATTTTGAACATAACTCTCTGTTACCTAGTTCCCAGTACGGATTTCGTAAGTCTAAAGGTACTTTAGACGCCTGTACTCAGTTAGTTAATGATATTCAGAATTCATTCTCAAAAAATGAATACACAGCATGTATTTTTGTAGATCTTAAAGAGGCATATGACGCAGTTGATTTAAACATCTTACAAACAAAACTCTCCTATTACGGTTTTGATACAAACGCCTCTGCTAATATTATTCAGTTATTTAGAAACAGGAAAGTATATATCAGAGATCACTATAACCTTCTGCATGGCCCTAGAATTGTCAACCAGGGTATTCCTCAAGGATCCGTTCTGAGTCCCTTTCTTTTCAATATTTACACGCCAAGCTTGCATGAGATCTTCGATCAACCGATTAAGTGTATTTAGTACGCGGATTATGTATGTATTTATACAGCCTGTAAATCTTATCACGATTGTGTTGTAGATCTTGAATATGTCATATTTTGCCTTACAAGCTGGTTATTTGATTATGGTTTCTTTTGGCTGCAAACAAATCAGCTGTGATGGTTTATACCCGTCACAGGCTGATAACAGGAGAAGTGATTAAGTTTAATTCAATATCTATTCCAATAGTAAGTTCCTTCAAATACTTAGGAATTGTCTTAGACAATAAGCTTACATGGAAACATATTGATTATACTTTATGCAAATGTGAAAGAGGCATTAATATTCTTAAATGTGTCACAAAATTTAAATGGGGTGCAGACACAAAAACGTCGTTAATGTTTTATAGATCTTGCATCCGATCAATCATCGACTATGGGTGCATATTATATGGATCAGCTGCGAACTCAAACCTTAAGTTATTAGATTATATGCAAGTTAAAGCAGTCAAAATATGTTTCGGTGCTTTTAAATCTTCCCCTACTCCAGCGGTTCTTGCGAAAGTACAAGAGCATCCTCTTTACTTACGAAGACATTTTCTAGCATGCAAAAAGTTAGTTATATTTAAAATGTTTTCGGAAAAAATTCTGAATTCTTCCTTTACCTAACCAACAAATATTGGAAATTTAAAAATAGTCCACCTTTGGCTGAAGCCCGTGTATCTTTAAACCAGTTTTTAAATAAAATAGAGTCTTACGATATGCTTCCTATATACCAGTTTAATTTTTTTTCTTATTGTTCAAGCCAACAATCTTATTCCCTGAGTTTACTTCTTCCCCTAAAATTAATAATATAATAATGAAATCGGTATTGAGAACGCTAAATACAGTAAATACTATTTTTTGAGATGGGTCTAAAGGAAAACAAGGTACAGGATGCGCTTTCTATGTGGAAAATGAAAACTTTATTTCCCAATTTCATTTACCAAATTATTCATCTGTTTATACAGCGGAGGCTTTTGCAATTTTACAAGCACTCAATTGGATAAAAAGCTATGCAGAAAGCAAATCGGTTATTCTTTCAAACTCGAAATCTGTTTTACTTTTAATTTCTAACTATTCCTGCAATATTAACAAAAATCCTATTATAAGAGAAATTATTCAGTCTCTCCTTACTCTTCATAATTCTAAAATCAAGATTGTTTTTATCTGGGTTAAAAGTCATAAAGGGATAGTTGGAAATGAAAAAGTCGATTTAGCTGCTAAAGAATCCATTCTTCTTCCAACTATTAGTAATATTCATTCTCCGCAGGATATTATTCATGTAATGAAACAAAATGTTAGAACAAGCTGGGAGAAACTTTGGGAACACTTTGTTTCTCATTCGAATAACCCATATACATTTATTCTCCCTGTTCTTCCAAAATCTATTCCCCACATTACAAATTTTAAAATGTCTAGGTATTATTGTACGACTTCAACAAGGATGAAACTGAATCATAGGGGTTTTCCGTCTCACCTTTCTAGAATTGGTATTAATATATCACCTTTCGGTCAATGCGACAATTCTTCTTTTGCTGATATCAACCACCTCATTTTTTCTTGTAGCCACCATAATTCTCATCGTTCAGATTTTCTTAAAAAACTTTCTTCGCTAAATATCCTTTTTCCATCAAGTTATGAGGGTTACTATGATTTTCGCAACGTCAGTTTCACGGGTATATGAAAATATTTTGAAGAAATGGATTGGAACAGTTTTTTTTGAGATAAGGAACTGTCTAAGATAATTTTAATACTTTATGATTCTCTGTTTTCCGTAATCAAGTTATTTGTTCCCTTAAAGAAAGTATTTACGAAAAAATGTCCACAATTGTATTCCTCGAAACTTACGAGCTTAGTTGAAGATAAAAAAGTTGCTCAGAGGATTTATAAACATAACAGAACTCCCAAAAATTATGAAATATTTAATCAGCTAGAAAAATGTAAGTTTACATCTAGAGAATGCTATTTAAATTAATATATTCTGTTTAAACTTCGGTTAAGATTAATGTTAAAGCCTTTTTAATATACTTATTTAAATAATTACAAAATAATGGCACAAAATACCTGCTATTTTGGAACTTTTATTAAATAAAATTAATAGGATATTTACCTCGAAAACAAAAACTCAACGCTATATCTCTTTGTACACCTGTATAAAGCCTTTGATATGTTTAGTAACACTTCAAGGAGTATTGGAAAAAAATTGGTTTTAGAAGAATTTCGTACTTACTTTGGAAAAATAACTTAACAAATAAAAAACAATGGGTCCAAAAAATAAATACTTTGTGATTTTAAAGTTGTTAAATACTGAGTTCCCCAAAGCAAGGTACATAAAGCAAGTTTATTTAATACATATCTAAATTATATTTCTAGAAAAGGGGAAATAATTAGCTTTACGAATAATGCAGCCATTGGATACTTATAAAATAGCTAGAAAAAACTAAAAATAATTGTTGAAAGATTTCTTTTTAAATAATAAAGTTGCAGCAATATCTTGCATATCCCTTGTTCCTCATATTCATACTACTTATCTGTTTATACCCCATTAACCATACATGTGAATAAATGTAGAGTCTCTGTAACTCAGATACTAAACATAAAATAACTCAGCATTTATATTGATGCTCATCTACTTTTTTTTGAGAAATAACTTTGATTTGTGGCATATACTTTAAAACATATCAACATTTTATGATACAAAAAATTCTCAATCGTGCTCTATAGGAAAAGACTTGTTATTGTTACTTCGGAAACTGCTTAAAAATCACTATAAAGCCAACACGCTAAATATATTATCACTCCTATTTTAGGCGTTGCTGATCATCGATTATGCAGACCGACTTCACACAAACCGATGATAAAATTCGGAACGATCCCTTGGTCGCACACCGATTCGACCATAGCTAAGTATTTCAAAGAAATGCACTCCTACATGCAGCCTTATCAAAGATCCAACGTCGTGCAAGGAGTGGCCGATGTTCTTAGCGGAGACGTCGATGCTTTTATTTACGATGGAACGGTTCTCGACTACTTGGCCGCTCAAGATGAAGATTGTAGATTACTTACAGTCGGCTCTTGGTATGCCATGACTGGTTACGGTATGGCATTTCCCAGAAACTCCAAATATCTTAAGATGTTCAACAAAAGGTAAGTCATTACTTAAATAAAAGAAGACAAAAATTTTAATAATATCTCTCGTTGTACCGTTAGGTATGGGAAATCATGTGTTAGTTTATCCATGTACACATTTCCTCGACTCTTTCTAATCTTGATTTACAGCTTTAATTTCTTTCTATGTCTGTTTGCGCCTTCTCATGAACTTTTGCTATCAAATCTTTTCAATTTTTGTTATTGCTTCCAATATTTGTTAACTGGTCTGCTCCTGCTTATCCCGATTAATTAATCTCAACTATTATTACGCCACTTGTATTTCTTCTATAATAAATTCGTTTCTTATCTTATCCTATCTGCCTAAAATGATCCCATTTACCTCTATGTGCTCTGAAATCACTCCACTTACATTTTTTTCAATGTTGGTTAAAAGTTATGACATCCATAAAAAAATTTATACAGAAGAACCTTGTTCCTCCTTGGTGAGGTACGCATTTAAAATGCCGCAAGATATTTTCTAAAATAATAATATTAATTTTGTCATTAGGTTGCTAGATTTCCGGGAAAACGGAGACCTAGAGCGTCTGAGACGCTACTGGATGACAGGCACCTGCAGACCCGGCAAACAAGAACACAAAAGTTCCGATCCGTTAGCCTTGGAACAATTCTTGTCCGCCTTCTTGCTGCTGATGTCCGGCATCCTCCTTGCGGCGCTGCTTCTTCTTCTCGAACACCTCTACTTCAAATACGTTCGGAAGCAACTAGCAAAGACCGACAGGGGAGGTTGCTGCGCGCTCATAAGCCTTTCGATGGGGAAAAGCCTCACGTTCAGAGGAGCGGTGTACGAAGCTCAAGATATTCTCAAGAATCACAGATGCAAAGATCCGATTTGCGATACGCATTTGTGGAAGGTGAAGAGAGAATTGGATGTGGCTCATTTGAGGATCAAACAATTGGAGAAGGAGATGGAAACTCATGGTATTAAGCCGCCTCCGCCTTGTAAGCGGTAAGTTATTTCGCAGGTTGGACCAAAGAAAGGAGTTTTTCTAGAATGTAATCCTTCAATTCTAAATAACTTATAAATAAGTTGTAACTCTAATAATTATAAAATAAAATTGTTTAGCCACAAATAAAATATTTGGTGTCAAATACACACTAGACAGTAGGTAAACAAAATGGACGAGTACTTTAGTATGTAAAATTAATTTAATAAAATTTAGTTGAGGGTTTTCGTCTATCATCAAACCCTTTCTAAACATATTACATCAGGTTAGGATTACGACTGAAATTACAAAATTTGACTATATCGAAGGTTGAAAATAATTAATAGTTTTAAAATACTTAAATATTTCTAAAAAAATAGAATATACCTAAGTTGTCAGCATTTGGTAAAATTTGTTATTAATAAATTTCCAAATAATGTTCTTGATAAATAGTCCTGTATTGATAATTAAGATTTAAATTTGTGAATTATTTATTAGTATACAGGGAAAATAACAAATTATGATTATTGCTGCAAAGTACTTTTTCAATACAAAGCAAAATATTAATTGAAAATGGTTATAGAAATTAAAAAATATGCACAAGTTAAAATCATTGCACTTATTTTTAGATGATTTTGGTTACTTTGTTTCAAATGAAACAACCAATGCTAATGTGTTGAAATTTCTTGAATTTTAAAAATTTGATGCTTGATTAGGAAAGAGTTGTGCAGAATTTTTTATTATAACTTGTTTTTTAAGATATCCTGCTATACACTGTGTGGTTTGTGGCAACTTCTTTCTTAGTTTGTGCTTGAACTGGTTAGATTTCCAAGTGTAAATCAAGCCTTTTAAAGAAAATAAACTGCTTATGCAGAATATACCGATATGTTACGGACATTAGAATTTTGTGAAGGAAATGTTCGAGAGAGTGTCAGGGTGTACTCTGAAAGGTTTCCAAATCGTCGTGTACCTAGCCACCCAACTTTTGCTGCTGTTGAGAGACGTCTTCGGGAGACCGGTTCCTTTGCTCCCAACACTGTTGATAATGGAAGAGAACGTTTTGTAAAGATTCCTGAAGTTGAAGAAGACATTTTAGAACGTGTTGAAGAAGATCCAGAATTAAGCACCAGACGAATTGGAAGGGAACTAGGAGTAAGTAAAGATGTCGTTCATAAAGTGCTTGGAGAACAATTGCTATATCCGTACCATAAGAAGCCAGTACAAGAATTATTAGTCCATGATCCTCAAATTCGTTTGGGTTTTTGTCCATTTGTTAATATGCAAAGAGAAAGAGATCCAAACTTTGTCAAGAAGGTTCTCTTTACCGATGAAGAGGGTTTTACAAGAAGAGGTATAATTAATACCCATAATGAACATGTTTATGCTGTTGAAAATCCGCATGCAATAAAGGTAAACCATTTTCAGCACGAATTCAAAATTAATGTGTGGGCTGGAATAATTGGTAATTTCATTGTTGGTCCTGTCATACTTCCACGAAGATTAACTGGAGAAAATTATTTGAATTTTCTACAAAATACGTTGCCAGAATTGTTAGAAGATTTACCTCTCCAACTTCGGAGAGATATGTGGTTTATGCAAGATGGAGCTCCACCACATTTTTGTTTAAACGTTAGAAACCACTTGAATGCACAATATCCACACAAATGGATAGGCAGATGTAATGCCGCTCCTGTAAACTGGCCACCACGTTCCCCAGACCTAACACCGATGGATTACTTTTTATGGGGACATCTGAAATCCACAGTTTACAGGAAACTTGTAGAAAATGAGGAACAACTCTGGCAACGTATTCAAGATGCAATAAACAATCTTAGAGGTGATGAAGAAGTTATGGAAAGGATACATTTTAATTTTCTTCGACGTATAAATCTTTGTATGCGTGAAAATGGTGAACATTTTGAACAATTTTTGTAAAATCTCTATTTTGATTGTTGTAAATAAATATTTTTGGGAAACCTATACACTCTAAATTATTAAAACAGAAATTTAGCGAAAACCATGAGAGTAATCGAGTCTTATCAAGAGTACCTTTTTTAAAGTAAATGAGTTGCTCAATCTAAATTTCATACTTAAACTCCTTTTCTTCCATTGGCGTAGAATTTTTAAAGGTGCAGTTATTTAAAAAATCAAGTTCTACGCCTATGTATTATTATCGGACAAAGTTTTAATACCATTTTTTTGCCACATGAAACTCTACCAATATATCAAATTTCAGCAAAATCGCATATGCCGTTTTAAATTTATATGGGAAAAACGATTTAAAAATTGTAACTTCAAAGGCCCTCTGGAGCCCAAACGAAGCAACTTTGTACTAATGTAATTTTACTTAAATCGACTTATTTTGGTCTAAGGAAGATGTGGTATGTTTTTGTAAAGACCTTTTAGAGACACCTTGTATAATTTTATATAGAATTAACATGTCATTCATTGTAGCTGTAGAGGTTATGTATAAAATTTGACAATTTGCTCGAGAAATTATTGAACAAAATATATATTTAATAACATTATTAACAAAACGTATCTTATAAAATCAGACGGTCATTAACATAAATAAATATAAATTAATATTTCAAATGACAGAAATAAAATTAAAATAGAAGTGATCTATTAGTCGCTGTCTGTCAGATAAAATAAAAATATCACTTCCTCTGACACAAAGCATAGACAACAAATGACATTTAAGTAAGAGGTGATTGTGTCCGAAATAGCGGTTCCAACCGTTACAAGTTTTGAAAAAAATCAATTTTTTACTGTCACTTTCATACCACTTTAAATATTTTTTTGAAATTTGGTGTACGGCGTTTGTGCATTAAAGAGCATTTTTTGACCTGAACAGTGAAGTCCGTACTGGACTAAACCTTGTATCTCAAAAGTTAAAACGTTTAACAAATACATTCATATGAAGTTGTCTTCTTAAAATGGGTACAAGAATCACGCCCTTAAATATTTGCATGTTATTAAAAAACATCCTGTATAATAATTTTAGAAAGGCGTTGATGATTGATTCCAGTCCAAAAGCACTCAGACTATTTTTATTTAATACATTTTTCACATTAAAGTACTTGTCCATTTCTTATACCTGTTAAGTAACTTTGCTGATATTTTAATCGATAAAAACCAATATTGGTCCATTCTGTATTCTTAAAAGTTACATTTATTAAATTTGCTACAGTTTTTTAAAATTATAATTTACGTCTATTAAAATCTTGCATGAACTTAAATATTTTTAACATCTAAAGGTAAGTAATTTTTTTAGTAAATAAACACGAATGTCAGATTTTAATAATTTTATATAGTTATTGTCAATATAGTTTTTTGAAATAAAATCATGTAAGTTTGCCACTTTAGCTACTTTATACATTCATTAAAATTCATTATGTCAGAGGCAAAGTGTAAACATTCAGAACTCTTAATACTTCCGCAATCCATTTATCCACGTAAACTAACTAAAACTTAAGCAGCTTAAACTTTGTTATGGACAAAGTTTTAAAATAGGTGTGTAAGGAATTTATAGTTGGAAGTTATAATAAATGATATTTTATGGTGGTGCGACGACACAGAACAAGTAGAATGTTTCCGAACAACGCCTTTATGTTATAATTAGATGCAAATTCGATGTTGAAAGTGTAGATAATCCAGATATTTTTTTACCGCGTTTTATTTTTTAGCTTTAATATATTTATGTTTGTTTACTATGATCTATTTTAGATATAATTAATTATTAAAACACTTTGATGTTTAAAAATTTATTCGGATTGTAATATAACATTTTCTACAACTTATAATACGGTACACTATGTTTTATAGGTGACAAGACGAAGACACTTTACATGACTTGATACTTGACATATGGTTAGGGTACTTTTACATAATATTCAAACACCTTCCCTTTAAAGATTAAGCCTTTGTAAGAGTTTGACATATCGTCCACATCTAGACATTTTACTTCTTGTAGTGGTCACTATACAAATCCTCACTATTATTACTAATAAACAACTGGGGTAGGTCATTATATTTAAACATTTATGGTATATCATTATCATTAAACAGTTGGGGTATATCCACATTGAAATTAGTTATATCATTGAGATTAATGTTACATCTCGCGTTTGCTGTTAGGTGTAATTCAGGTTTGAGTTCTTTGGTTCTTCGGTGTGCATGGCTTTACTAAAGGACAATTTAATCTGATTTGTATTACGTCTAATTACCCAGCTAGCACAAAAACATCCCATCTACGTTAATAAGCTGCAATTTTAGGCTCTTTAAGTATGTACTGTAAATGTAACCCTTATCTCCCTGCAACTACCGAATGTCTGCAACGGCAAGACTTTTATAGCACATCTCACAGAAGTTACAAAGTGAAGTTCGAAAAACATCACACTAGCACTTTTACGGTACTTACCCCGAAAGTTGCTCTGAAACGTTCTATTGATGTTATAATGTGAATTAGATCTACAGCATTATACAGTGTGTCCACGGATGGGCTTAACTATACTTGTGAAAATATTTATTTTAAATTAAAAAAGTAATTCTTCATAATTTCTTGCTTGTTAAATAAATTCGATTCACATTGAGAAATTATGAAAAATAACTTTTTCTTTAATTTAAAATAAATATTTTTACAAGTATAATTAAGTCCATCCGTGGACACACATTGTGTAATGTAATACAGAGAGGTTGAAATTGAGGCTATAGTAAAATCTCAATCGAGACATGAAAATTTCAAATAAAACAAAATATTTATATAAATTTATTATTAAAATGTTCTTGAAATCAAGTACCAATAGCACAAAAGTAGAGGTAGGTGTAGGCGTGTTCTTTTATTCAGTGCTGTATCCAGCGCTTGCAGCAAACCGTTCGTAAATTAAGTGATGGAAAGACGATTGTATGTGTCAATCATTCTTTTTTCCAGCGGTGAGTTCACCAATGAGCCAAGGCATCCATCGGCTTTAAAAGCCGATGGATATGTGATAGACGAATGGTGAGGATAATCAATCATTTA